ACTGTATAAATACTGGTATGGGGTCTAGAGGTCATAGATGTACGTATGTTTGGATAAACGTTTGATGTAAAAAAAATTTCTGTGACATCATAAAGATTCGATGATACATTTCGGTGTATTACATACATGCCGTTGGGTTTGAATAATAATGTATTTCAAACATTAAATGTCATAATCAAAAACCATGGAGTTGGCTTATCTGTTAAATACAGGAGAGAGATAACTATCTATGCAGTCCACTTCTATTACATGAATAAAACCCAAAGTACTAACACCAAATCCCTCATCCCAAATTCAAATTTAGGGAGAAAAAATTATCATTGCTCATCAACATTAGTGGTATGAGTTGCCAAAAAAGATGGGTACCCAAGAAACTTGCAGTTGCTATAACTGATACAATGAGGAACATACAATTGATTGTTGCTATCTAAAAATCTAGTATCTCAAATACTATGATAGATATATGAAAATGATGTTATATCCAAATTGAAGTCTCAATAAGTCTACATGATTTACCCTAATCATTAAAAAAATCTTATATATTGCGACTTTTATCGGTCCGTTTGAGTTTGAGATACCAATGTTTGACTGGATATGATTACCTTGCTGTTCTTGATCTTGGTCTTGAATTTTTCTCTCAAGTGTTCCAAGTTCTACAACGAATGAACATTTTACAGCATATAGTATACTTTAAATGTATTTGCAAACTAACTAATCAATGCTTATCTTAATGTATTTGATAACTATGTGATTTCCTTTCAAAATTTTAACAAGAGGCCCACGGGCCTTATAGGTCACCTGTGCATCATGCAACAACTTTCAAATGATTGAATTTGTTTCATGTTTTCAGCTAGATGCTAAGGCATTCACAATTTTGGAAGAGGCACTCTTGCTCAACATAACTATATACTTAGTTAGTTTATTTAAAACCTAGGAGCAGAGAAGAAGATTTTTAAAGACTTACTGCATTTCACTATATAATCAATAGAGCCCCACCCTAACACCAGAACCCTGACCCTGGGGCCATGAATTTCACAATATTGGTAGAGGCACTCTTGCTCATCATAATTATTTATTGAATTAGTGTTTTTTCTACCTAAGAGCAGAGAAGAAGATTTTCAAAGATTTAATGCATTTTCGTTATATAATCAATATAGACCCCCGCCTAACAATAGAACCCCTGACCCTGGGGCCATAAAATTCACAATTTATGACAAGAGGCCCACGGGCCTTATAGGTCACCTGAGCATTATGCAACAACTTTCCAGTTACAGTGTATTGAATTTGATTCAATAACATGTTTTAAGCCAGATGCTATATGGCATTCACAATTTTGAAAGAGCACCATTGATCATCATAACAATAAACTTAGCAGTCGCTTAGCTTGGTTACTGAATACCCATATGCAGGGTAGGGGAACAAAAATGCACTCCAACTAATCAGTAATATTCATCAATAATCAGTAGTGCCCCTAACACTCTGACATAAACCCCTGACCCTAGGTTGCACAAATTTTTAAAAGGCACCCTTAAAATTGCCTATCAAAAAGTAAATAAATGTTTTATAAATACAAAGGACCAGATTTCAAACAATTGATTCATTTCCAGTATATAAGTAGAGACCCCCCCCCCACCCCTGACCCTGGGGCCTTGAAATTCACAATTCTGCAAGATTAGGGCCCTTTCTCATCATAACTACAGTGTGTATATAGTAGTTCATCTGCTTCATACCCAGAGACAGAGAAGAAAATTTTCAAAGATTCAATGTATTTTCACTATATAATCAATAGAGCCCCACCCTAACACCAGAACTCCTGACCCTGGGGCCATAAAATTCACAATTTTTGTAGAGGCACTCTTGCTCATCAGAACTATGCACTTAGTTAGTTTATTTAATACCTAGGAGCAGAGAAGAAGATTTTCAAAGAATTCATGTAATTTCACTATATTATCAATAGAGCCCCCCCCCCAACCACAGAACCCTTGACCCTGGGGCCATAAAATTGACAATTTTGATAGAGGCACTCTTTCTCATCATAAATATGCACTTAGTTAGTTTATTTAATACTTAGGAGCAGAGAAGAAGATTTTCAAAGAATTCATGTAATTTCACTATATAATCAATGAGCCCAACACCAGAACCCTTGACCCTGGGGCCATAAAATTCACAATTTTGGTAGAGGCACTCTTGCTTATCATAACTATTTACTTACTTGGTTTATTTAATACCCAGGGGCAGAGAAGAAGATTTTCAAAGAAATCATGTATTTTTACTATATAATCAATAGAGCCCCACCCTAACACCAGAACCCCCGACCCTGGGGCCATAAAATTCACAAATTTGGTAGAGGCACTCTTGCTCATCATAACTATGTACTTAGTTGGTTTATTTAATACCCAGGAGCAGAGAAGAAGATTTTCAAAGAAATAATTCATTTTCACTATATACTTATTTAGCCCCGCCCTAGCACTAAAACCCCTGACCCCAGGGCCATGAATTTCACAATTTTGGTAGAGGACTCAATGCTGATTACAATCATGCAAATAGTTTGACTGCTTGATGTCCAGGAAAAAAGAAGAAGATTTTTAAAGATTGCATTAATTTTAGTGGTTTTGGCCCCACCCCTCAGGCCCCAGGGGGGTAGGGATCATGAAATTCACAATTTTTGTTCCCCTTCACCCATAGATGCTATATGCCAAATTTGGTTGAAATTGGTTCAGTGGTTTCAGAGAAGAAGCTGAAAATGTTTAAATGTTAACGCACGACGCACAACTCACGACGGACGAAAACGGATAGCAATAGGTCACCTGAGTTTACTCAGGTGACCTAAAAATGTTTTTAAATTTTTTTTTTACCGTCAAACTGAATCTCCGACAGCTTCTTGTTTTGGTATTTGCCAACAACGTTGAATTCCTGAATTAACATAAGCTTTGCAATGTCTAATCTCTCGATCATTCCAGATGTTTGTCTGTATACAAGGTCATGGATCTTCTGTGTATGGCCAAGGTGATTGCAGATATATTTCATCTCGGTGTCATTCAGATTAAGGGCCTAAACAGAAATTCAGAATTTTTATTTGAACTAATCGAACTTTAAAATCCATCTTTTGCCAGGAAGAAAAAAGTAAACTACATAAACTCAATTTTCTGGTTCTGGGGCATCTTCTTCTAAAACAGATGTGAGTAGGGGGCATTTTCTAAAATCAATTATCGGCTCTAAATTATATGGAAGGTATTTTTTAATACCCAAATTTTCTATATACAAAAATGAGACCAATTCTTTGTTCAAGATATTCTTTCCATGTCAAAATCCCATTATCCATTAATTGCTTCAATATCATTATGTAAAACTTGTAGGCATGATCTTCAAATGTATTTTTTTTCATGAATTAATCAAGTCCCTTTGCAAGTGGCTACCAGAAGCAATGTTTGACTACTAAACTAAGAAAGAGTGAGGGTGGAATTTTTTTTTTCAAGATTGGTTTCCACATTACCAAGTTTTCATTTTATCAAAAATACAATAAAATTTGGATTGAGGCTACCTCAACAGATGTGCAAAGGCTTGAGAACTATAATGCCAATTTTTTTCAGCTTTAATACTGTAATTTTAAATTAAGAAAAATTAAGCAAACCTGGGCAATTGTTGCAGTGTGTTTTCTCAAGTTGTTGGCATAGATTCTCTCTGGGAATCTCAATTCAACTTCACTTCTGAATTTCACTTGATCAAGTGATTCCCCTGCTCGAACAACAGTGCGACCTGTATAACCACAACAAACATGATCACAAACAAGTCTTACAATAAATAAACTTAATTTGGGTAAATACAAATAAAACATACAATGAAGCGCATTGAAGTGGTAAAATTTTTCGTTTGCATTGAACATTTTCAGCTATCTTTAGACACGCCCATTTCTTTAGAAAGGAAAAATCGGTCAAATGATTCCATAGAATACCCGAGAACAAGTATTCAATAAATATAATAGCCAATCAAATTGACGGTCTACATAAACGTGTTCAACTGATACATGTGTTATGCTTACTCCGGTAAACAAGATAAAATCATAATTATATGTACATATTTGTTGCAATGCTTTTATTTCAGAAGCGGAGACTTTATATATATAGCTTTTTCGTATTTAAAAATATTTATGTCAGTGTAACTCATGTTGCTTGTTGCGGAAAATGGTGTGTCCTAAAACATTATGGCAGCTATTTTATTTTCTCGTTTCTAAAGAAATGGGCGTGGTGTAATGTTATAATTGATGTTCAAAACATGACTCAGAATATTTCATCCAAATGGGAAATTTTACCACTTCAATGCCCTTCATTGTAGTTCCCACTCACCGGTATTGGCAAACATGTAGTTATTCTCTGGTCGAATGCTTGCCCTTTGTCTGGCAACTGGGTCGCTCAAATATTCCAGCACTTTGTTTGTTTCATTTGGGATTAAGACAGGTACACCCCTACCAGTCTGCATGAAATATATTGACAAGTTAGAAAACTCATGGTTCATTTGCTTATTAGAGATAATCTAAGGTAATGACAGTACATACATGTACTAGTTTTCATCAAAAAAGTTTTTACATGTATTGAGCTCAAGTAATAAAATTACATGTATTGTACAAGTAATAATAATCAGTAAACTCAGAACAAACATAGCTGAACTAACTACATTTTTAAGCATGAGACATATGATATAATTATTAATTAATTAATTATTAATTAGAAATGCTTATAAAGCAGATATTAGGATAGAAAAATGATTTTGCTACACATTTGAATTACATTCTCTGATAAACAAATCTAATACATACTTTGCCTCGTATTTCCACAAGATCTTGAGTTTTGAGAAGCATTTTCTCAAAATCTGTTAAGTGACTCCGCAGGGCCATGTTTGCTTCATCCACTGACATCGATCTGTTTTTGTAAACTTCAATACTACAAAGGAAATATTATGAATAGTATTTTAAATTATTCAATATTTACTAAGCATTGGATTTCTAAAATCCAAGTTTAAAATAATCTTCACATAAGGCGTTAAACAATATGCATGATTCTAAATTCAAAAATAGATTTACCGATGACCTAAATTAAACAATTTAGTCAAGATTCATTTTTAATTATCATACTATTGCTTAAAAGGTTTTACCTAAGGCTTTCTAACTCTCCTGGTCTCCTTCTGTTGTACAAAAGTAGCCTTGCCTCAGCAAGTACAACTGCTTCTCGAAATACTATTTCATTGCTGTTGTTTGGTGTGAGGTCTAAGTTCTTTATTTCCCTTACAAGATAAGCTGCTATTTTCGCTATATCAGATGGATCCGGGAGCTCTTTTCTCTTGTTGAAATGCCTCACATCCAATGTAATTCTTGCCAGCTTTGTCACTTTCACGCTCCATTCCATTCTTAGCAATTGTAAAAATTCACTGGCCTCTGTTTTTGCTTTGTCATTACCCTCCTTGATTCCGATTCCTAATTTTGCATTTGCTAATCTACTTAAATCATAGCCTAGCTTAATTGCAGTGCTGGGATTTTTCAAGTCAGCATTTTCATCTTCTTCACAAGCTTTTACTGCACAAGACACAACCCTATCAAACTGTTCTGGGGCTATAAAATAGTGCATGGAAGCAGAGGGGATTTGCGAATCTTCTCTAAGAAGGGAAAGCAGCTTTGCCGCCAATCTCATTCTAAAACTTGTAAAGTTTTTTCTTCTAAGTTTGTTTCCAGCATTTTTCATAAGCCATATGTTACCTAAAACTGTGATAAGATGGTCTCCTTGAGCTATTTCAGTTGTCTTGTCTCTTATCATAGATGGGAAAACTTCTGTTTTTAATTTGGTTGACGCTGAGGAAGAAATTTTACCTGCCATAATTTTGGACTGAATAATAGCCGCACCCTTTGAATCAATATTCTCTTGGATAGGACATGCGACCATGTGTTTTGTGATGTTTTCCAGGACAATCCATTCTTGACAATTTGGACATGGTCCGTAATCTTTGACATTGAATTGATTCGACTTTCTGCGTCTGGTCAGCAATATTTCCCCTTCTTCTGCTGCAAGAACTCTTTGATTATGATTGTTGTTTCCTTTGTTTCTAATCAGAGTTTGTAAGTTCTTTAAACGCTTCTTTAAATTTGACCTATATTCATCATTTTCTTTTACTTTGTCTATCTGTTCTTTTAAGTCCAAGATCTCCTTCACCTCCTCTTCATTCCTATGCTTATGTTGAAGGTGAGTTTGAATATTTGTCATCAATTTATAACAAAACAGGCATGCATGCACCGTATCATAGAGTCTACCATGTTTTGAATTGTGCGAATTAAGTTCGTATTTCTTAGAATAAATTTTTGTATTTGTCACATCCGAAATACATTTGTTTGGCAATATATTGCGTTTGAATGGAACACTTGATGTTAACAAATCTGGATTTTCACAATTGTCTGGAGCATTTTTGTCTGGAGCATGTTCTTCAGGAGCATATTTGTCTGGAGCATGTTTGTCTGGAGCATGTTCTTCAGGAGCATATTTGTCTGGAGCATGTTTGTCTGGAGCATGTTTGTCTGGAGCATGTTTGTCTGGAGCATGTTCTTCAGGAGCAGGAGTATCTTTTGGAAATTCCCATTCATCCGACACATCACTGTCGTCATCAACGCTTTCACAGTCAAAGTCTGGAATATACACTGATTCTCTATCACTGTCTGTTTCTCCAAATTCCTCCTCCTCATCAGAAAAATTCATGTCAGCCAGCAGCAGTTTTTGATCCTTGGGTTTCAAAGATGTACACTGTCTGTACAAGGTTTCCCTGATAGGATTTACAGATTGATCATCAGATGCTGGCAAATCTGCTTCGAATGTAGCACTGAAAATCTGTGGTTGACAGTTAATACTTTGACAATGTTTTTTTTCTGTACTTAAGATGCTGTCATCTGACCGAGCCTGATTGTCATGATTTTCAGTGGGTGAATAAAGCCCTGTATTAATAGTGTTTCTGTAAATCTGTGTGTGGGTATCAAAACATTGATCAAATGCAGGCAGTTTGACTTTAAGGGCCTTGCAAGGTTTAGGTAACAGAGACTTCTGTGGCATTTCACCAATGACCAGTTGTGTATAAAGAGTGTCAGAATTAATTTGATTGTTTTCACTGACCACAGGGGTTAAATAAGCTGACAACTCAGACATTGTGGAAGTTGTACAAGCTCCTGAGGGAATGAAAGTGTCAGATGATCGCTCCGCTGAGCTTCCAAAGGTGATTTCACACAACGTACTTTCAACAGGAATAGCTGGACTGCTTGTTCTTTCAGTTGAATCAATTTCTGGAGTCGCCCAAATGGTTGGAGACATCTCCTCTGACAATGTGGCACCAAGAATGCTAGAGGAAGTTTCTGTTGACACAGTTGTTGAGCACACCATTCCAGAAGTTTCTTCTGCAGTACTTGTACAGGGCACAGTTGCATCCATGCTTGCAACAGAGAACTGGACTGTCATACTTTCTTCACTGACTAAAGAGGTTGAATCTCCTGAGGGGATGAAAGTGTCAGATGATCGCTCCTCTGAGCTTCCAAAGGTGATTTCACGCAACGTACTTTCAACAGGAATAGCTGGACTGCCTGTTCTTTCAGTTGAATCAATTTCTGGAGTCGCCCAAATGGTTGGCGACATCTCCTCTGACAATGTGGCACCAAGAATGCTAGAGGAAGTTTCTGTTGACACAGTTGTTGAGCTTATCATTCCAGGAGTCTTTTGTACAGTACTTGAATGCGGCACAGTTGCATCCTCAGTTGCAACAGAGGACTGGACTGTCATACTTTCTTCACTGACTAAAGAGGTTGAATCTCCTGAGGGGATGAAAGTGTCAGATGATCGCTCCTCTGAGCTTCCAAAGGTGATTTCACACAACGTACTTTCAACAGGAATAGCTGGACTGCTTGTTCTTTCAGTTGAATCAATTTCTGGAGTCGCCCAAATGGTTGGAGACATCTTCTCTGACAATGTGGCACCAAGAATGCTAGAGGAAGTTTCTGTTGACACAGTTGCTGAGCACACCATTCCAGAAGTTTCTTCTGCAGTACTTGTACAGGGCACAGTTGCATCCATGCTTGCAACAGAGAACTGGACTGTCATACTTTCTTCACTGACTAAAGAGGTTGAATCTCCTGAGGGGATGAAAGTGTCAGATGATCGCTCCTCTGAGCTTCCAAAGGTGATTTCACACAACGTACTTTCAACAGGAATAGCTGGACTGCCTGTTCTTTCAGTTGAATCAATTTCTGGAGTCGCCCAAATGGTTGGCGACATCTCCTCTGACAATGTGGCACCAAGAATGCTAGAGGAAGTTTCTGTTGACACAGTTGTTGAGCTTATCATTCCAGGAGTCTTTTGTACAGTACTTGAATGCGGCACAGTTGCATCCTCAGTTGCAACAGAGGACTGGACTGTCATACTTTCTTCACTGACTAAAGAGGTTGAATCTCCTGAGGGGATGAAAGTGTCAGATGATCGCTCCTCTGAGCTTCCAAAGGTGATTTCACACAACGTACTTTCAACCGGAATAGCTGGACTGCTTGTTCTTTCAGTTGAATCAATTTCTGGAGTCGCCCAAATGGTTGGAGACATCTCCTCTGACAATGTGGCACCAAGAATGCTAGAGGAAGTTTCTGTTGACACAGTTGTTGAGCTTATCATTCCAGGAGTCTTTTGTACAGTACTTGAATGCGGCACAGTTGCATCCATGCTTGCAACAGAGGACTGGACTGTCATACTTTCTTCACTGACTAAAGAGGTTGAATCTCCTGAGGGGATGAAAGTGTCAGATGATCTATCCGCTGAGCTTGCAAAGCATAGGTCATCTTTGTATTTTTTAATCAGGCTGTGGCGTTTCTTTTTTTCTAATTTTTCTGAAATTAAAGATTATTCCATTGTTAAGGAACACATTCACTGCATTAATGTTGAATTTATGCAAGTTATGAACATTCTGTGTATATTAAAATTAATAAAAAGAAAATGCCATTGTAATTTTCACTGAAAATATTGCAATAAATATTGCAATACAGTTAAAAATATTCAAATATATTGCAATATAAAATCTCTGGCCAATACCCAGCCCTACTAATTTGATTGAAAATACATTCAAAGACATTGCCTACAATGTTCACACACAGTGGATAAAGCAATCCTTTTGATCAGATATGAAAAGTATATCCGTAAATAAATTATCTTTATTCTAAAGAAAATTCGAAAAATTACAATTAAAAAATACCTCCCTCAATATTTTATTGTGAATAAAACGCCTCCTTCCTGCATCAGTTTTGTAGAAAATTGGCCTTATCAGAATCAGAAATTAAATTTAGATTTAGTCTTAAATACAAGTGGCATTTCTACTGTTTCTTAATTCTATTCCTCTCAGACCTTTCCCTCCTTTATCCCTTAATGATGACTTTTGATGCCTAGACCCCAACCCTTAATGATGACTTTTGATGCATATGATTTCATTGTTGATTTGACTTGAAATTACTGCTTGTTTACAAATTATCAGAACACAGGTGGCCATCTGCAGATTAACAATAGATGATAACATCAAACTCCAGTAAGAAATCATGCAATTAACCTGTGTAAACAAACAAAAGAATTTTGGTAAGTCCGACCAAAATTCAAAATGGCAGACTGTTACATACAATGTTTTTTGAGAAGATAACTCAGTCAATATGCAATATTTTCTAATTCAGAAAAGCATTACATGAAATTCAAGCTATAAACTACCTATGTCTTGAAAGGTTTTGCAGTGGCAGGTTTGAAAATTATCATGATCTTTATGTGTAATTAGGGTTATATACTCCAATATAAAGTACAAAAAATTTTTTTAAGTTCAGTACAGTGCAGTGCAGATTTCATTACCTCTTTCTGAGAAATTCAGAAGATATTTGATCTTATCCTTTGGCTTTGCTAATTTTTAGAGTAAACATTATTTTCAGTAGAAATGCCACATCTATTAGTACCAACAAAGCAACATTTTGAATAAAAGAAATACACAGTAAAACATACTTATATAACAAAATGCTAGGAATGCACAAGTTTACTTCACTTCAAGGTCATACACAACATTATAGTTTGAACTTTATTGGGCTCTTCACTATAGTTGAAGAGTTCCACTAGTTGAAGAGTTCCACTAAACCAAGGACCTGTGTGCAATACTTTTAATGTCTATATATGGATTTGTACACCTCTTCTAGAACAAATTTTGATGGAAACAAGAGGCCCATGGGCCTTATAGGTCACCTGAGCATTATGCAACAGCTTTCCAGCGATTTAATTTGATTAATGTTTTAAGCAAGATGCTATGGCATTCACAATTTTGAAAGAGACACCATTTGATCATCATAACAATATACTTAGCAGTTGCTTAGTTTGTTTACTTAAAACCCATAGGCAGGGTAGGGGAACAAAAAATGCATTTCAAGTAATCAGTAATATTCAGCAATAATCAGTAATGCCCCTATCACACATGAACCCCTGACCCTTAGGCCTAGATCCGATCCACACATTGCACAATTTTTGAAAAGGCACCCTTGCTTTTCAAAAATATTTGATTAATACCAAGGAGCAGATCTCAAACAATTCATCCAGTTTCAGTATATATGTACACCCCTCCCATGGTACCATTGACCCCGAGACCTTAAAATTCATAATTCTGGAAGATTAGGGTCCTTGCTCATCATAATTACATAGGTAGTTCATCTGCTTAATACCCAAGAGCAGAGAAGAAGATTTTCAAAGATTTAATGTATTTTCACTATATAATCAATAGAGCCCCACCCTATCACTAGAACCCCTGACCCTAGGGCCATAAAATCAAAATTTTGGAAGAGGTATTCTTGCTCATCATAACTATGTACTTAGTTTATTTAATTTCTAGGAGCAGAAAAGAATTTTTTTCAAAGAATTCATGTATTTCCATTATATGATCAATAAAACCCCACCCTAACACTAGAACCCCTGACCCCGGGGCCATAAATTTCACATTTTTGGTAGAGGAACTCTTGCACATCATAACTATGCACTTACTTAGTTTATTTAACACTCAGGAGCAAAAAAGATTTTCAAAGAATTCATGAATTTTCACTATATAATCTATAGAGCCCCGCCCTAACACTAGAACCCCTGACCCTAGGGCCATAAAATTCACAATTTTGGTAGAGGCACTCTTGCTCATCATAACTATGCACTTAGTTAGTTTATTTAATACCCAGGAGCAGAGAGGAAGATTTTCAAAGAAATAATGCATTTTCATTATAAACTTATTTAGGCCCACCCTAGCACTAGAACCCCTGACCCTGGGGCCATAAATTTCACAATTTTGGTAGAGGCACTCTTGCTCATCATAACTATGCACTTAGTTAGTTTATTTAATACTCAGGAGCAGAGAAGAAGATTTTCAAAGAATTCATGAATTTTCACTATATAATCTATAGAGCCCCACCCTAACACTAGAACCCCTGACCCTGGAGCCATAAAATTCACAATTTTGGTAGAGGCACTCTTGCTCATCATAACTATGCACTTAGTTAGTTTATTTAATACCTAGGAGCAGAAAATAATTTTTTCAAAGAAATAATGCATTTTAACTATATACTTATTTAGCCCCACCCTAGCACTAGAACCCCTAATCCCGGGGCCATAAAATTCACAATTTTGGTAGAGGCACTCTTGCTCATCATAACTATGCACTTAGTTAGTTTATTTAATACTCAGGAGCAGAGAAGAAGATTTTCAAAGAATTCATGAATTTTCACTATATAATCTATAGAGCCCCACCCTAACACTAGAACCCCTGACCCTGGAGCCATAAAATTCACAATTTTGGTAGAGGCACTCTTGCTCATCATAACTATGCACTTAGTTAGTTTATTTAATACCTAGGAGCAGAAAATAATTTTTTCAAAGAAATAATGCATTTTAACTATATACTTATTTAGCCCCACCCTAGCACTAGAACCCCTAATCCCGGGGCCATAAAATTCACAATTTTGGTAGAGGCACTCTTGCTCATCATAACTATGCACTTAGTTAGTTTATTTAATACTCAGTAGCAGAGAAGAAGATTTTCAAAGAATTCATGAATTTTCACTATATAATCTATAGAGCCCCGCCCTAACACTAGAACCCCTGATCCTGGGGCCATAAAATTCACAATTTTGATAGAGGCACTCTTGCTCATCATAACTATGCACTTAGTTAGTTTATTTAATACCCAGGAGGAGAGAAAAAGATTTTAAAAGAAATAATGCATTTTTACTATATACTTATTTGGCCCAACCCTAGCACTAGAACCCCTGACCCTGGGGCCATAAATTTCACAATTTTGGTAGAGGACTCAATGCTGATTACAATCATGCAAACAATTTAACTGCTTGATGTTCAGGAGTAAAGAAGAAGATTTTTAAAGATTGCATTAATTTTAGTGGTTTTTGCCCCACCCCTCAGGCCCCAGGGGGACAGGGACCATGAAATTCACAATTTTTGTTCCCCTTCACCCATAGATGCTTTGTGCCAAATTTGGTTAAAATTGGTTCAGTGGTTGCAGAGAAGAAGCTGAAAATGTTCAAATGTTAACGGACGACGCACGACGGCGGAAGAAAACGGATAGCAATAGGTCACCTGAGTTTACTCAGGTGATCTAAAAATATTGAATTTTTCTTTCAAAATTTTTGTATATTTTTCTTTGAACATGTTGAATAATGCAAAAAAATTCATGATTTGATATCTTCCCAAAAAAACCTAGTAATGCATGTCAATTTTTTATGTATGAGCATCTGATCTTGAAAAATTACCAGTAGGTAAGGTAACTTGCATATGTCAAGCATAATTCAATTGTTATAATTGAAAAATTTGTAATACATGTATATTTTTGAAATTATGGGGAATGAAACTTTTAAATTGCAAGTGTCAATTCATTAAAAGCATCAAGCATGTTGGCTATAAGTTTGTTTTACTGTAACTTGATAAACATTAACAATATATAATCTTCTAAATATATTACCTATACTTGATATTATCAAGCTTGAATTCTTGTCAAATTTTACAAGTTTTGACAATGATCTTTTCACTCTGTAAAAAATCCAAATAGTAAATCTTGACTGTGAAATATATTCAACTCAGACGAGTTAATTAATCTGAAAAATTATCGATGTTCTAACATTTTTGTTGTTTTATGTTCCTTATAAATTTTGTATGCAGACTTCATAGGATTAATAATTTAATTCTATTGCTTCTGTCTACAAACTTTTTGATAACCCTATATATATATATAAAATAATACATTCGTTTTTTGATTTAATAATCTCTAAACATCTGTCAAACTATCATTTTGAAAATATTTCCTGAAATAGAGTAGGGAGGGCTAATAACCATAATTTTATGACAATTTAAGTAGTACAGTGTACTAGATAGGCAGTGTCTACAGGAAGTTAGTAATGAAGGTGCCACAGTATATTACAGACAAAGATTCTAGACCATGTTTTTACATACATTCTCGTTACATGCATCTACATTATAAAGGATGGTAGCATTCTCCAAATCTGTTATAAAATAAATAAACTTACATAGAATTTTCATTCCAAAATGCCACAGAGACAACACCATTTGCACAAACATCCAACACAAATCCAGGCCACCATACTCCCATATCCATTAGGCAAAATATAGGGTCTCCTGTTAAAAAAAATGATACACATATATACTAGTAGTCAAAAATGACCACTTTCTATTACCAAATATGCAATAAACAAAATAATACATGTATACCCTTTTCCACATCACATCTTGTATCCATACATGTTAACCTATGGTTATGACAATTTTTTTTTAAATGTAAGTATATATATTTTTCTGAAATATCTTTCTTATCATTGAAATTGATTTGCTATAAATGATATGATATTTAAATTTACCTTCCATAAACAATTTTGGGGATCCTGAAATGAAAAAGAAAGTCACTTTAGAAAATCATGATCTAACTGACAAGCTAACACTGCAGTCTCTAAATTTATTTCAAATTTTGAAATTTCATGCAAATATTTGCTACAATATAATGGATATTTTTGCAATAATCTATCTTTGCTTTCATTTTACACTTTAACAATTTATGGAAAAGAGTCATACAATATTTTCACACTCTATATGTCAATCTGCATGATTTGTGTTATTTTATTCATATTTTATTCATATCTTAAGGTCAAATACTTTAAATTCTAGCCGATTGAAATCGTTGAATCCAAAGACTTTGTTAACATTTGAATTTTGAGGAAAGCCATGCAAGCAGCAACAACTAAATTTTTTAAGAGTTATTTACCTTTTGATTCACTTTGACCGTTATTACTTCTACTCAACTTTTTTCTTTTACGACCTGGCATCTTGATTCTTCTATTAAAAAAAGGAAATTTTTAATAATACTAATGCAAAAATATACAAAAGTTATGCTTATTGTATAATGTAAGAAAGCACTGTTGAGTGTATAGCCAACAACAAAACTTCAAGACCTACGTCGCCCAAATATGGATTTACAGAAAAAGATACAGTAAATATTGCACATATTTCTCAGAGACCATGAATTTATTTTCATGCTTTTTAACCAAGCTTTTTAAGCTCATTTTGTGAAGCATTTGCTTGTTGGTAGATACACTTGGTTGCCAAAATGTAGAGGGTTTTATTTAACTAAAGCAGAACTTCAAGAAAAACTCTATAACAGAAAAAAAAAACAAATTCACAAAAACTTTCAGCACTTCTAAAATTATTCTGAACCGTCATTACTTATCACAGCTAGAATACCTTTTTTAAACTCTCATGAATTCTCTATTCCATCTACTAAAATAGTTGCCCCATTTATAAATTGCAACAAAAATGGCAATTGAAACTGCTATGAAAACAATAAGCAACAAACTGAGCAATGTTTCTACAGCAATCATGTGCTTCCAAATAACTTCCATTTTCCAATCCCAGAATTCCTTTTTTTACAGACTAAAGCTCTTAAATTTTGGACATATAAAACATCCTCTCAATTAATGGACAATTTAAGCTCCTTAAGAATGGACTATATGAAACGTCCTCTTAATTTATGGACAATTTTAGCTCCTTAAGAATGGACTATATAAAACGTCCTCTTAATTAATGGACAATTTTAGCTCCTTAAGAATGGACTATATAAAATGTCCTCTTAATTAATGGACAATTTTAGCTCCTTAAGAATGGACTATATAAAACGTCCTCTTAATTAATGGACAATTTAAGCTCCTTAAGCATGGACTATATAAAAAATCCTCTTAATTAATGGACAATTTTAGCTCCTTAAGAATGGACTATATAAAAAATCCTCTTAATTTATGGACAATTTTAGCTCCTTAAGAATGGACTATATAAAACATCCTCTTAATTTATGGACAATTTTAGCTCCTTAAGAAAGGACTATATAAAACATCCTCTTAATTAATGGACAATTTTAGCTCCTTAAGAATGGACTATATAAAAAATCCTCTTAATTTATGGACAATTTCAGCTCCTTAAGAATGGACTATATAAAATGTCTTCTTAATTGATGGGCAATTTTAGCTCCTTAAGAATGGACTATATAAAATTTCCTCTTAATTTATGGACAATTTAAGCTCCTTAAGAATGGACTATATAAAATTTCCTCTTAATTAATGGACAATTTTAGCTCCTTGAGAATGGACTATATAAAAAGTCTTCTTAATTGATGGGCAATTTTAGCTCCTTAAGAATGGACTATATGAAACATCCTCTTAATTTATGGACAATTTAAGCTCTTGAAGTATGGATTTTATCCAACTTCTTCTTAAATGATGGATGGAAATTATAACTCCTTAAGTGCAGGTGTGTTATTTAAGGAATCACTGTCTAGTTTTGAGAGTATGCCAGCTGCATCAACAATAGAGGGAAACATGGGATAATTTGCATAACGGGTGTTAATGTCCCTGGCATACTCTCAAAACTAGACAGTGATTCCTTATATTTCCATTTCATTGTGATCAAAATAAAATTGTAGATTTAAACTTTAAAAATGTAGACATAGACTATAATCACACGAGGACTTCCATGCCAATTTCAATAGTCCTCGCCCACTGACGTCAAACACATAGGCAGCCACACGGGATTTACATGCATATTTGGCCTTAGCATCAGACACAGAGACAGATGCGCACGGGATTTGCATGCGTATTAGGTCTCCTTAGCTCCTGACCTATTGACCTGCCTAATTTACATTCAGGCAGAATTATCAAGAAATAAATCCCCTGACAACTTTCTCAGAGTTATCACAGAGAAAAAAAAATTAGAAATGGAAATATTATACATTTATTGCATGATAGAGAGGGAAATATGAAGACTTATTCAGCAAAGAAAAATCATCGCCCGAGGGGAATATTATATTTCTTGCCTGAATAAGTCTTCATGTTTAAACATTCATGCAATAAATTATTTAATATACCAAAACAAGGAAAACCTTTGGAAAAAAGGTAAACTTTAAAATTCTGCACATTATCATTAATTTTGTGACGTAAACAAAGCTATTAACTACTCTCAGGAGTTTTCGTTCAACAAACGAGAACTATATTTCAGGAAAATACACGTACTATGTAATAAGATGAAAACCATGCCGACGGCCTGGAAATATGAAGTTTTACGGCCCGATCACGTGACAACTTAGAACCAATCAGAAAACACATTGTTTAGAATATTTATAATGAGGTATAATAAAAACATTTTCTGATGCCTGGGCTACCATTTTCTAAGGTAACGCTCATTTCTACACCCAATTAAGGTTTAAATGCCCTTCGTCTCAAAAATCAGTATTAAAGATGTATGATCCAACATCCAGTCCTTTATTCTTGTATTTACTACAATCAATCTACCATCATTCAATTACAGTGTAAATTAACATTCCTAAATTGTTACAAATATTACAACTCTAGTTTTAATAATGTTTGTCTATACTGGACGTCCGGTACATCAAATTTTTTACCATCTTGAACAAAGTTTATTTATAATGCCTTTAATAATGTGATGCATATCATGATAAGGCCAAGAATAAAACAAGTATCAAGACACAGCTGTCTGTAATTAAATAAAGTGAGATGTTTACATATTTTCTTGCTTAATTTTTCAGATTTGTTTAATTTGGGGAAATTCTGTTACTAGACATTCATTTCAAAGGGAAAAGGTACATTTTACAGGTGCAGTAGTAATTTTAAAATCCTTGTACATGCATGTTTTTATTGTGATTGGAATTTACTAGCAAATAAGGGGGGGGGAACTCTGAAGAGCTATATATACAATATATTACATAGGGAATTTTTAATTTTTACTGGCCGAAAGGGCAACCTTCATGCAGTATATGTATAGATTCAGTCAGTCACACCTTCTCTTGCATGTTTTAACAACATCATTTGACAATATTATGGAGTTTTATGGGTTTGTAACTGTAACTTCATATAGAAGATACACATTATTTAAATCATTACAATAATTTTAAAATAATGTCAATTCGGTAAAAAAAAAATATGTACCCGAAGGAAATATTCCATGTACAATTCCGATTTTAAAAGAGGCTAAAGAACATTTTGATTGAACATAAAGTATGCTCAAATGCATGAATACAATCGGTCAGCTTGAAAACGGTCCCAAAAAATCGACCCACAATTTTGCATCTTAGAGCGCCATTTTCTGACCCCTTTCTAATATAAAATATTGAGCGCCAATAAGCCCTCATTAACATGATTAAGACATTCATTTCATAAGGGAAAAGGTTTCATGATTTAATATGCATGTTTTTAAGGTGTATACTGTATACTAGCAAATGAAACTATATAAACAATATATTACATAGGGAATTTTAAATTATACTGGCCCTGTTTCACACCTGCTCTTGAATGTTTTATGGGTTTGTAACTGTAACTTCATATGGAAGAAATTAAAAATAATTTTGAAAATGTAAAAAAAAATATGTACCCCAAAAGTATTTTGCATAAATAGCTAAATGCTCACCAGCTTCTCTTATATATAAATCTCTAAGCCCTCATTAACATGATTAAGGTCACACCAAACCCATGAGGTTGTAATGATTTAATAAAAGGTGCATACTGTATACTAGGGCTGGGCAATAATATCGATATTTCAATATATTGCAATACAATGACAAAAAATATTGTATCGCAATACAATTTTGTAATATTGATATATTGGCAATATGCTTACATAAAAGAATTTTGTCATTAAATATAAAAATGAACTTATGAAAGTTTATTATTAAGCCAAACAGTAAGTCAGAAGTTGTTTTGTTGGAACATTTCAGAGCATAACTTAAAGGAAATTAACAAGATTTTTTTTCTGTGTTGGTTACTTATCATGTTATGTATAATGTACATTCTGCATGTAAATTTAAGTAAATTTAGTAAGAAAATGCCATTTTTATATGAAACATAAAAAATATTGCAATACATATCGCAATACATTTAAAAATATCGCATTATATCGCAATACGGGGCCAATACCCAGCCCTACTGTATACAGTGAAATTCTCACCCCTGTTTTCCCCAAACTCATAGGTGGAAGAAATTAAAATGACAAATTAAAAAAAAATTGGTACAGTTTCTTAACCAGAACTGTGATCATGGTGATTGGGTATATTTAAAATAGGGCTGTGTATTGAGCAAAAAATCGGACAGCAATGCCAAACAAAGTGAATTTTATTTTTGGCCCAATCATACCTAACCAAGAACTATTACTTTAAACTGGGAGACAATCTTAAGTATGGACAATTAGCCTCATAATTGAGGGACAATCCTAGCTAGCAAAGTACTATTACTTTAAACTGGGGGACAATCTTAGCTCACAAAGTATGGACTTTTAGCCTCATAATTTACGGACATTCCTAGCTAGCAAAATACTATTTATTTAAACTGGGGGACAATCTTGGCTCCCAAAGTATGGACAATTAGCCTCATAATTTAAGGACAATCTTGGCTAACAAATGACTATTACTATAAACTTGGCGACAATCTTAGCTCCCAAAGTATAGACTATTAGCCTCATAATTTCCGGACAATCCTAGCTCTGAAAGTACTACACGACTTTTGTATTTCTTTTATCTGGGGGACAATCTTAGCTCCCAAAGTATGGACTATTAACCTCATAATTTACGGACAATCCTAGCTAGCAAAGTACTATTTCTTTAAACTGGGGGACAACCTTAGCTCACAAAGTATGGACAATTAGCCTCATAATTTATGGACAATCCTAGCTAGCAAAGTACTATTTCTTTAAACTGGGGGACAACCTTAGCTCACAAAGTATGGACTATTAGCCTCATAATTTACGGACAATCCTAGCTAGCAAAGTACTATTTCTTTAAACTGGGGGACAACCTTAGCTCACAAAGTATGGACAATTAGCCTCATAATTTACGGACAATCCTAGCTAGCTAAGTACTATTTCTTTAAACTGGGAGACAATCTTAGCTCACAAAGTATGGACAATTAGCCTCATAATTTACGGACAATCCTAGCTAGCAAAGTACTATTTCTTTAAACTTGGAGACAATCTTAGCTCCCAAAGTATGGACTATTAGCCTCATAATTTACGGACAATCCTAGCTAGCAAAGTACTATTTCTTTAAACTGGGAGACAATTTTAGCTCACAAAGTATGGACAATTAGCCTCATAATTTATGGACAATCTTAGCTAACCAAGTACTATTGCCTAATTGGCAGATAATGTATTGACTTTATCTATTCATTTACCTAAATATATCATGGCTATCAGTAAAAATACACAACTTACAGTAAAAATACACAAATTACAGCATTTTAATCAAATACCATAATGAAAAGGTAGTGAAAAAATAAGACAGAGCTCTCAGCAACAGATTCATAAAAACCTAAAACAAACATTTCCTTTTTCTTCACCTCAAAAGCTTCAGTCCATTAATAGTTGTTTCTAGAATATTTATACATTTCCTCAAACCTGTCACATGTCTATCACTCAATTCTTGGATAAAAAACTTCAAATCTCATTGTTTTAAATGCATTGGCTCTTTCCCTGGTACTTTTTCTCTGTAGAAACAATTAGTATAGGGACATTTAACAAAAATATTGCTCTTTACAACTGTACACTCACCTTTAGATAAGAATAAACTTTTCAACATGGAAATCGGAGAGGATACAAAATGCACGACAAGCATAGAATTCCGGGAACGAAAAAAAAGTTAAACAACAGAAGCCATGTATATATATTTCCAAAACATCCATGTCAAAATCTGAGCAAAAAGAGCATGTTTCCGAGTAGTCATAAGGAGAATGAAATAATATAAATCCAATTGGAATATCCTCCATCTTGAGTTGAAGTTTCTGTAGCTCTTTATTTTGTCCAGCATTATTACTTCCTGTGATGTCATACAAATATTCTGATTTCAACCCTTGGTTCATGGACCTTTAAATACTTAACATTTATCTTTTTTGTACTCTTCATGAAGTGAAGTAAAATCTGCTTCTGACATGATAATATTTTGCTTTGTTATTCTATCATTCAAACCATGAAATGCCATTTTCATATAAATTATATACACATACCAACAAGTTGAAATTTATAATTTGGAGAATTTTGAGCTAAAGTGACGTCATCATAATCACAAAAATAAATGAAAACATTAAAATTTAACCATGAGAAAAATTCACTGCATTATCTGCCTCTAAATATGTCAAATGTACATGTAAATACAGAAAACATTATTTTGTACTACAAATTGTAGCTTTGTGCGATTTGTAAACATGTAGCTAGGGTAAACATGTTAAACAGCTATCCGGGTAAACTCCCGTGTTAACGTGACAAAATATTCAATACAAAATTTCACATCATATTTTTGAAGAAGGATGAATGAAATAATTCAATTCTGATTTGGGACAAATGAATTCCTATATGATAAGAAACATAGTGAATAACCTACCTCACTCACTGTCCTATATTCAGCAGCTGGCAAGATGGCTTCCCTTCTCTGCTTTGTCATCAACTTTCGGAACCCCTCGGTAATGTTTATAATAGACATTCAAAAAAGAGCGGGAAAACTGAGGATTGGGTAAAGAGAGATAACTCTTTCACTCTTGTCCATATAATGGACCAGTGCTGTGTCCAAGATTTACGAGTTTTTTTCCCATCATGAATATTACCTCACAAAGTGTAACTAGGCAAATTTTGGAGTCAGAATTAGGAGTTAAGCTCGTAATTCCACATTAACACCTTAGTTTGGACAGGGCAAATTTTTTAACTCGTAAAGTCTAAACACTAGCACGGACGGAAGGTCAAAGGGTCAAAGTTGTTGATATCCAATGAAAGATCTTGTCACAAGGATTACATATGGGAAGTATGAAAGCACTGACCCTTACCGTTCAAAAGTTATGGCCAAGGTTAAAGTTTGTAAAAAGTAGGTCAAACTAAGGTCAAAGGGTCAAAGTTGTTGATATCCAGTGAAAGGTCTTGTCACAAGGATTACATATGTGAAGTATGAAAGCTCTAGCCCTTACTGTTTGAAAGTCATGGCTAAGGTTAAAGTTTGTAAAAAGAAGGTCAAATGTCAATGTCAGAGGGTCAAAGTTGTTGATATCCAGTGAAAGGTATTGTCACAAGATTACACATGTGAAGTATGAAAGCCCTTGCCCTTACTGTTCAAAAGTTATGGCCAAGGTTAAAGTTTTCTTGAAAGTACAGCATTCTCCAAGGTCAAGGTCAAAAATGTTGATTTCAAATGAAAGGTCTTGCCACAAAGATTGATATTTGAAATATGAAATTCCTAGTATCTACCGTTTAAAAATTATAGTAGAAGTTTGGAATTTTGTGCAAAAATGGGTCAAACTCCAAGGTCAAGGTTTAAAGGTCAAGGTTCTTGATATTAAATGAGAGGTCTTGTCACAAGGATTAACATGTGGAGTATGAAAGCCCTAGTCCTAACCCTTCAAAAATTATGTTCAAGGTTGTATTTCAAAAGTAGGTCAAACTCCAAGGTCAAGGTCAAAGGGTAAAAGTTCTTGGTATCCAATGAAGCGTCTTCTCACAAGGATTACATATGTGAAGTGAAAGCCCTACCCCTTACTGTTCAAAAGTTATTGCCAAGATTAAATTTTTTTTATAAGTAAATAAGAAATCTCCAAGGTCAAGATCAAAAGGTCAAAGTTGTTAGTATCCAATGAAAGGTCTTGCCGCAAAGAATACATATGTGAAATATGAAAGTCCCGGTATCTACTGTTAAAAAAATATGGCCAAATTAAAAGTTAAGAATTTTTGTGTAAAAGTGGGTCAAACTCCAAGCTCAAGGTCAAAAGGTCAAATCTCGTGGTCAAAGAAAGAGTACATTGTCACATGTGAAATATGAAAGTCATAGCTCCACTAAATCAAAAGTTATGAGCAAGGTTAAAGTTTTTGCGGACAAACAGACAAACAGACAGACAGACGGACGGACATGACAAAAATTATATACCCCCGAAACTTCGTTTACGGGGGCATTAAAATGAATTCAATTTACGCTATGGATTTGTGCAATACGAATTGGTCGATGTACGAGTTACTTTGACACTAAAACTGAAAGTAGAGCAGAGAGCAAAATTGACAGATCCTGTTGTTTGGATAATTGTTGCTAATTGTTTTCTGTGATGTGACTGGTATACTGCATTATCGATTACTTGAAACATTGTAAAAAAAAGAAGTAGAGTGAGACAAAATGGTAAATTATTTAATTGGCCAGTCAGACATAAAACCAGCGCATCTCTGAGACCACCAGGTCTGGTACAATCACTAGATTTAGCTACGTAGCTTGATTTACCTACTTGATCTACCTCTTTAAAAAAGAATTTTTCTCAGAATGTGCAAAAAAATCTCATTTTGATGCAGTGATTATTTTTCAACTTTGAACTCATCACAAAACAATTCATGAAGAAATCACTGATGAAGAAATGTCTTTTCTGCACAATTGCAATCAAAGGTCTGAAAGTTTTGGGGCCATGTATGACAGTTAAAACAGTTACTCCTTGAATGAGTTGTCAAAGAAGAACATATGTTTATAGACAAAAAATGACAAAAATACTGATTTTTCCAGCCATTTAATTATTTCCAAGTGCTTAATAACAACTGAAACATTGTATTTTACTAATACATATGATAAATTTTATATGCATAAAACATAAGAAAAGATTTAAGAAACATTTATTCATATTCAAATCCAAAACTATTTCAGAATATGGTGATGCTTCAGTGGCGGATCCAGAAATTTTTAAAAGGGGGGGCCCGACCAGTTCTAAGTCAGGGTAGGGGCCCAAAGCCACACCCGAAAACAATGATTTATTAAATATTGTGTATTTTTTGGACTCAAAATGGGGGGCCCGGGCTCCCTGGGTCCCCCCTCTAAATCTGCCAATGTGCTTTATAGCTCGAATTCAGTGGAAAATATCATCTACCCCCCTTATTTCATGAGCTGGAATTAGGTATATTTTACTAATTAGCACTGGTATTAAAATGATTAATTAATTACAACTGAAATGTTCTTTGCATTAAACAAAGATTTTATGGCCAAATTGTCATCAATCTTGAATTAAAAGGTTGTAAAATGTAGGTGGGAATTGAGAGTTAGCGTGCATAATTCTTTTGAAAAATTGCATTGAAATAGCTAAATAAAGCTACGTAGGTAATTCTACCTACGTAGCTAAACTTTTTTCTTTGGTCATCTTGTTGTCATAATGAGTATTTTTGTAAGGAAATCCTTAGATTCCCCCATTTCTCCCAAGGGTAACTGGGTTTAGTAGTGTACTTTAATATTTGTGTTGTTGTTATCATATTTCAAGCTCCGCACCATATATATGGCAATTTTTTATCGAATTATTAAAGATAAAAAAATTACACACTTTTTCCAATTTTATTTTTATTTTTTTAGTTGACTGCGTAGATTATGGAATTTTATTTTTATTTTTATTTATCCCCCCCGACCCAATTCTTTCAAAAAAATTCCCGTAAACCATTTAATAAAAAAATGTTGGCCTTATGGTAAAGAATGAAAGAAATCAGCATACTTACCGTATATACTAGCTTATAAGTCGGTCCGCCTATAAGTCGGTTGTATTTTTTGAAGTTATTTTAGTGGGATTTGCTATTGACCCGCTTATAAGTCGGTTCAATTTTTTGTTAAAATAGGGTGGCAACTTCAAGTACATCAGTTGATGTTTTAACCTGGTTTCAATTAATATTTTTCGAAATTACACTGATATTTAATTTTTGATTAATTTTTAAACAAAAAGTGACTCACTAAAAATAAAAATAAAACATTTAAAATATGTTAAAATCTTGTACTTTATATCTATAATCTAAGAATTTATAAATTATCATATATTATATCCAGACATTTTCTTTCATAATAGTCAGATATGCGAATAAAATATTACATTTCTGCCTCCAGAAAAATATATCTTGATGACTCGCCTATAAGTCGGACACAGAGTTTTAGACTAATATTTAACTCCCAAAATACCGACTTATAAGCGAGTATATACGGTATGTTAAATGAATGTCTTTGAGATAATTGGTATGAACACTAAAGCTAATTGAAGAAATGTTTAATGCTACTAAAGCTGTGAAATGCCTTTAATTCTTTCGAAACGAATGATCGAGAAAAACGATACCAAACAAATGAGGATGGAATTCTTAAGCTTAATCTGAGACAAACGGCAAAAGACCCTTTCAGATTTTACAGCATTGACAGGTTGTGATACGTCTTTATATGTTCAGAAATTCAGATGAAAACGAGCGCAAATGAAATCCAAAAATGTACCTAGAACTGTTAGGTTATTATGTTCCCCAAACGAAGTTTGGGAACATATTGTTTTTACTCTGTTTCTTATTATTATTATTATTATTTTTCTTCCTGGGAAAATTTTGTACTTTGAGTGATCTTGTAAACTACACATCTGACTAAGGTAAAATGTTTTTAGGGGTAGTAGACATGTTATGTAGATTTGCCGAACAAAGGCCATTTTGCGCGCACGTGCTTGCAAGAGCGCACACGTGCAACACTTGAAATGACCGATTTAATTGATAAAGGCATAACTTTTCACATTTTTGATGAAATGCTTTGAAACTCATATTATAAGGATATATGTGTGGCATAGACAATATGACATGGTCAAAATAGCAAGATCTCACGCGCATGCACGTGCGCTTCGCTGTGATTGGCTGAAACTAAAGTCTCTATATCTTTCTTGTTTTTTGACGAAATCCTTTGAAATTTTGAACATAGCCATGAATTAAGATTTCCTACAACAGGATATATAGCAATTATCATGAAAACACGTGCATGCACGTGCGCTGCAATCTGATTGGCTGAAACTTTAAATAGCTATAACTCCCTTGGTTTTCAAACAAACAGGATGGGATTTGGCACATAGATAGATGTAATGAACTTCTACTAGAAGGTATGGTACCATGATGCATATGCATACATGTGCGTGTACGTGCACTGCAATGTGATTGGCTGAAATTTTAAACAGGTATAACGCCCTTGGTTTTCAACCAAACGGGATGGGATTTGGAACATAGACAGATGTAATGGACTTCTACAAGAAGGTATCTCACCAT